TAAGAGATGTAATTCAGTTCCTTCTTTCTGCCAGGAAGTGTTGGTGAAATGAAATGACAGAGAGGTCTGTCAGGAATCCAAGACTCTCATCAGAGATGCTGCTTTTTTAGTCTTGTTTATTTATCTACCTTTCAACCACTTTGAGTCATGTTTAACTGTCCGCAGAGTTGGGCTGTCTCCAAGGCTCCGGTATATGACTGCATCTATTGCAAGAAAGTCGGTCACTGTGGCAGAATACAGCTTTCCCTCTGGGGAGGAAGGAAAGAAGAAACAAGAGGAGAGGAGCATTAGAAATAATATAATTGCTTTCTCTCATCAGTCAAATGAGATGGGGCAAATGAAATCATCACAATGTCCTTAGGAACACTGAAGGGAAAAAACATCCAGCTAGGTAAATGGGGCTGAGCACTGAACGAGCAAGCCACCAGTTTTCAAAATGGCAATTTCAGAGGGATGCTGTGAGAGAAGAAACCTTATGGAGTAATTCTCCAGTTTAGGCTAAGTCGTACTGAACTACCCTATCCAGTTTCCCTGCACTTGCCTCTGGCCCAATGCTCATAAATTCTGCCTATGCATGTGAGCAAAATAAATAAGGGGAAGCTGCGACAGAAATGTTAGTTTTAACTGGGAGGGCAAACTACACAGGTCTTAGGGTCTGTCAGCTAATTGACACTTATGCAAATTTCTCCCGTTGAGAGCACTTCTCCTCTGCCAAAGATCACTAGCAAACAATTAAATAGTGTGCAGGGAGCCCAGGCAAAACAGGGATGCAAAGGGATGGAGGAGGATTGCCTATCTATGTTTCTCTTCTGAAATGTGCGTTTCCCGCACAAATTATGCATTCCTCTCTCTTAAGGAACCAGAGGACAAGTGATAAGAAAGCGTCTACAAAATGACACCCCAAGGACAACTGAAAGCTGCAAAACTATCAGGAGGTAAAAGCATGAGCTCCAACAACATTTTAAAATGATTATTTGTTGTCTAATCTGTTTGCAGGTCATGGTAACCGTACAGGGTTGTTTTCATGTGTGAGACAGATCTTGGAACATGATGTCTGGTAGGAGCACAAGCATCGCAGCTTGAGGACAGCAACTTCTGTCTCTGTTGTGTCTACATAAAAATCAGAATGGCCTACATCTCTTTTGACAGAGATTACGTTGGGTGCTGGGCCTCGAAGGCACCAGAACCGAGGACATACCCAGGACAAAGCAGAGAGGCTTCTCTCTTTTCATTACACATACAGACAACGTTTAATTTCAGCTCAAGATTTAAAAATCAAAGTGTTTTCTATTAGCAGGACTGTACTCTTTATTCTGAGCCTCACAATTCCCATCATTATTTGGCTATTTAAAAATGCAATTTTTTTTCTTAGGAAAACCAGAAAAAAAAATTACAAAAAAAGCAAGCAGATACTAAAAACAATTTTAAAATAGAATAAAAAGCTGAATTGTTTAGATACGGATGTCTGAACTCATGTTAATACAATCACACATTTATTTTCTTTCCTGCCAAGTTCCTGAAGACCATGTGACCAATTACAATTTGCACATATCAGCTGTAATAGCTACCAGGCTGCAAGAAGAGCCATATTCATATAAGTGCACCCAACAGACTCAGATGAGCTGGATTAATGCCCTAAACTGCTCTGAAACTGCTTTTCACTGCACTCTGAAAAGTTATCATGGGTATCAATATGTATGGTATATCAAACAATGATTTTCTGGAGCTTAGCAGATTTACAGGCTATAGTCTACAAGAATTTATTTGAACGGTATTAAATTATTTCTGAATCATCATGAAAGAGTACGATCATTTCTATAAATATTCTTTTTATTTTCAAATAATGAGAGGACGTCTTCGGCGACAGAGTGGGAGTCATCTTACCAAACCTCAGCTGCATGCAGGGTAAATGTTTACATTAGGTTGGTCATAAACGCTTTCTTGGCCAGTGTAGTAAGAAAGGCCCTTCCGAAAGGCAATTTAGACTGCCCTAAGGATAGGGGATCTGAGACATGAGGAATAAATCTTTATCTGAAGATGTCTCTCTCTTTCCATGGTTTATGGAGGTTATATATATTATAGGAGGTTATATATATATATATTATAGTAGGTTTTATACCTAAGAATTTCTACTTCATGTTCTTTTGACTGTAATTAAGAAATTACATACTGCCACCATCATTACTACCATTATTTTTGAAACAAAAGGACCCCTTTATTTACACTATAGAGAGTAAAAAAAAATTGCAATCTGCTACAAAATCGCTCCTTTGTAAGGCAGATGATGCCACTTCAAACACAGTAATGCATAATACAGCCCTTTGGCCACAGACTCAGCTCACAGAAGCACAGAATCATTGGAAAAGACCTTTAAGATCATCAAGTCCAGCCAGCAACCCAACACCACCATGCCCACTAAACCATGTCCCCAAGTGCCACACCCACATGTTTTTTGAACACTTCCAGAGATGGCGACTCCACCACCTCCCTGGGCAGCCTGTTCCAATGCTTCACCACTCTCTCAGCAAAGGAATTTTTCCTAATATCCAATCTAAACTTCCCCTGGTGCAACTTGAGGCCATTTCCTCTCGTCCTATCGCTGCTTACTTGGGAGAAGAGACCAACATCCGCCTCACCACAGCCCCTTTCAGGTAGTTGTAGAGAGAGACGAGGTCTCCCCTCAGCCTCCTCTTCTCCAGACCGAACAACCCCAGTTCCCTCAGCCGCTCCTCGTAAGACTTGTGCTCCAGACCCCTCACCAACTACATTGCCCTTCTCTGGACACGCTCCAGCACCTCAACGTCCTCCTTGTAGTGAGGGGCCCAAAACGGAACACAGGATTTGAGGCGTGGCCTCACCAGTGCCGAGTACAGGAGCACGATCATTTCCCCACTCCTGCTGGCCACACTATTCCTGATACAGTTGAGAGTGGCTAGAATACTTGCACACACTTAAATCTTCAGAGCAATAGCTAAAGTATTTCCATGTGAGCACCCAGGCTCTGCTTTCTAGCATCACACCTGCTGAAGAGGATTGACATTATCAGGGGTGAGTTCTGTATCATCTTTACCACCTATTTTACAGACAAATCTAAGAAAAGATCAGCAGGGTTCACACTAAGAGAAGTTCAATAAAGGAACAATTTAATCAGGAATTCATGAAGAGGTGTATAAAAACATTTCTCAGTCAACAGCCCAAGTTTACTCCATGAATAAGCACTCATTTTTTTCTAACTATTGTAGTAGAAATCAGAGTTAACTGTATTCTGCTGCAAACAGCATAAATCATTATTAACCAACAAGCTTCTCTCCTTTGTCTACAACAGCTGGTAATGCCACATTGAGATGTTTTCTGCTTTAAAATAAAATTACCTTCCCTTTCCTTCTAGATCTAGAAAAGGGGAGATCACAGCATGTTCCTTAACTTCCTTTTATTATGAAGGTTAACTTAAGCTTAGTGTTGTTAAAGAATGCATCCTGCCCGCTCATTAAAGTTCACACAAGCCTTGACTTTCCTTGACTTTTGCACAAGCTGTATGCAGCCAGAAATGGTGCCTCACGTTGGTTTGGCATCGTATTATCAAGAATCCAGGAAATACTGAAATATTGAGCCAGGAAACTGAGGCTTCAGGCAATGTTTATGGTAGTGAAGTTAATCCCAGAGGAGCGAAGGCTTCCGTGCTAGTGATTTCCTTATGCCCCCTATTTTTAGTCGTTACTCACTCCCTTTGCCACCTTTCATATTTTGGCATTCTGGACTCAAGAGACACAGTGCTGTGGCAAGCCTGGGCTGCAGGACAGAAAGTAAAAGAGTTTATCTTCATCACTTTACCTGCAAACAATGCAACGTTGGCATGCTTTGCATCATAGGGGCACCTGGCCATTCCACTGAATTCATCCCCCAGGAACTCCAGGGTATCCATCTGAAAAATGAAAGAGACCTCCTCAGGTAGAGAAACAGAACTTCCTACCCCGGATGAGGCTTATGACAGTGTTTCTTCTTTTCTGGCCAGGGAGGAAGGTCCTTTCTCTAACTGTGCTCCTGACTATGAATTAAATACCTGACAAAAATCACGGTGTTAAATAAAATCAGTCTGAAGAAAATGCGTCCAATAAGTCAGGCATTCTTCTGGAGCTAATCACTCTTACCCCGACACATTTTACAAAAGCCTTCAGTCTATATTTTATCTGTACACAAGCTTCCTGTTGAACTGTAGCAGGCTATGTGGTCTGTGGTTCTGGCAAGGATTCAAAATTTATCCTCAACAGTGATCCAACAGAAGCACTCTTATACACAGAAAAGACTGCAAGCCACAGCAGTCAGAAGAAACAACACTAGGACAATTATCTGTGTGTGCATTTTTCTCTCCAAAGTCCGGAGATCCTTCTGCTCTAGTCTCAACAGTGGTGCTCTCTTCCTTGATTTGCATACTCAGAAGGATGCTCTCCAAGTCTTACTGTATCAGTTGAGTCTGTGTCACAGAGAAATCCTCTTACCATCAGGCAAGAATTAATCTGTGCAGGAATTGTAAAATCTGAGGCTTAAGTGTAACTCCTGGGAAATAAATTCACCCTGGGCACCGATAATGATACAAATATACAGATCAACTTTACGTTAAGTTCAAGAGGGTTTAGTGAGCTACAGGAGAAAGGTACATCTCTTACCTCTTCAGGATTCTTATACTACTATATTTTGGGAATAAGAATCTTTCTAGCATATTCAAGTAACTTGAGGAGCTCATACTGTATAAATCACATACAATACAGATTCACAGAGCATGAAAAACAACCCACCCAGCACCATCAACTACTCCAATCAACTTTTAGCTTGTATGTTACAGTACCCAAGTCCTCCAGTGGACGATTTATCTTCATTTGTTTTCTGTCATGTATCCTTCCTGTCAAAATCCACTCTGAAGGGAGTTAGTTGTGTTTACTCAAGGGCTGAAATGCATTTCATGTGATAGTGAGAGGAAACGAGTTACAGTCCTGAGCAACTTGCCCTGCACCAGCCCCATGCCCCCGGCTCATGTACGCTTGCATTGGCAGTGTGGAGGGACGGCCCCATTTTCTGCCTGGCACATCTTTAGTGCTCTTTCTATACAATGCAGAAATACATAGAGGAAAAGCCAGGGCAGGTGTTGGAGAGACCTCCTGCTGACTCCCAGAGGTATCACCATCCAGCCTCCTCTGCTCAGCAGCAGGTGAGGCAGTCTGCGGAGGCCATGCATCACGGGGAATGAAACACCTGCAGTAAGGGTAAGGAGGGCCATTTATATCCTTCACGTCCGCACGTCAAGGAAATGTGCATTTGTATTAAAAAACAGCTTTCTAGCAAGGGGACTGGTTTAGATTTGTTAGCTGCACCAATGGCACCAAGAGCTAAAAAATGACAAACTGTGCTGGAAAACTAAATATAGCACTGAGACCAAGAAGCTTTGTCGCATGCTAGGAGTGGGATGCAAGGAAAGGAAGAAAAGAAGAAATGGCTGTTAACAGAGATGCCACCTGTACCACACAGTTACCATGACGTAGGCTTGTATTTTTATTCAAATTTGATTCTTCGCCCCCAGACTGAAAGAAAAGTCTACGCTGAGCTTCTCTCCTGTGTTTCCTAGACTATAGTCATCACAGTGGCTAAACAAGGCAAAGCAGCATTGCAGAAAATGCACAGAACAGCAGCAGTCACAAGCGAATACCACTAAGGAAGTAGTTTTCCTGGATGTTAATGTCTTTATTCTGTTTTTTACAGTAACTCTGAACCCAATGAAATGAATGAGAACTGTGCTGTGACTTTATTGGGAGCAGCATTAGCAAAGCTGAATTCTCTTTTTCCTGAAGAAGGATGAGAAATGACCTGTGGGACATAGCAGTGCCCAGAAAAGCAGAGGCTGGATATCAAGGGCCTGAGTGAATTTATTTTAAAGCTACTCCAGAGACATCCACTGTTGGGGGTTATATCAGATTGTACTGGTGCAAGCCTGAGAAAATGGGAAATATTTGAATAATGAGCCCTGTTAAAATGCAGATGATGGGGACACCCTGTGTCAAAGGAAGAAACTGGGGTCAAGGAATTAATGTAAAGTATCCATGGATCAGCACTGTTTTCTGCACTGCTCTAGATAATGTTTTGGCTTTGCACATCCCCAGATAGTGAGGAATACATCACCCTCCTGCTGTACCTCCCCCTGTGGAGATCTGCTGTCAATCACTTTTACAGCACACAAAGCCATAGGATCTCCAGACCTTCCATATCTGCTGCGTCCCAGCACTAATATTCTCAGGTTTTGCTGTGCTAAGCCCTCAAGTGCCTTGGGAACTGGCTTTGAGATCGAGAACAGTACAACAGAGACATTTAAAACATGGTACCCTGGAGGTAACCCTCAGCATCAGTCTATGACGTCAGTGCCAAGCTGAGGAACTTTCTGCAGAGTGACCACATGCCCAAGCAGGGATCTGAAGGACTCTGGCCCTTTGGAGGGCAACGCAAAGTGGCAATAAACTCTGACGTGCAGGAGTTGCAAAGAAGGAGGTAATCAATCTGCGCAATCCTGAGAAAGTAAATTACCATTGAGCTCTGTAGCATTGAAACGAGTCAGGATAAATGCAACAGAGTTAAACGATGTGCTGTTGAATGACAACCTCATGCTGTTGCCAGCATAGTCACAATAAATCCAACAGAAAGACAAGGCATAAATGAAATCCCACAAACAGATCACATACCTTGTAGTTCCTGCAAGAAGGGTTGAATGCATTTGTTCCACAGATAAACAACGTATCCTCATTTCTTTTTAGGAGAACCTTAATAAAATTATGACATTCATCCTGAAGAAAAATAATAAAAAGTATTTCAGCTACTGCATTTTGGGTGTCTGGTTTTATTTTTATGCCATGATATTTCATTGTCAGGTCTAAAATGAAATTGGCCGGTAGCCACTGTGATATTCTGGGCTTTATTTCAACTATGCTTAACTGACAATGAGTAAGATGCAATTGATTTATATTCTAGTGGCTTAAAAATGATTACAAAGAACAAAGATATGACATTCATATTACAGCTCAGATTTTGCTGTTGTTCACATAGGTGAATTTTGTTTGAATGCTATTGCTTTCCTCAAGAATGAAAAATCTGATCTTCTCATCTATGTTGCTGTAAAGACAGTAGCATCACCAACGCAATGCATTGGCATTAAGCATCTGTAACTAGAAAGGGAAGCAGGTGTAAAGACTCAAAGAGTCTGCATCTAATTCTAATACCACTCGTGCTAGTCTTAAGTTACAGTAGGGTAAAATCGGTGTGAGAAACACTCCTTGTACAGCTGTACACATTCATGCTTTCTGATGCTTTACACAAACTTCTCAGTGAATTCCTGCAGGAAGATGGACAGCAGCATTTAGCTTTTGAGGCAATGGTAAGCAAAATCAGTACGCTAAGCATTATGTCCAAAATCCCCAGCGCTTTAAGTATTTCAGAATATTGCTGTGGCTCCTGTCGTAATGTTTTATCACATTAAAATGAAACTATTTTTGCAAATTAAAGCCTTCAGTAAGTTGATGGAAAAAGCAATTACTGGCAAGAAATGAACGGCATGATCCATTCCACATCACAGACAGCAGCCTGAGATAATAGTGAAGCAACTAAACTAAAGTGGCAGATGTAGAACAAAAGAAAATTGCTTACCTTATGTTTTCCCTTCATTCTGCATGTGTCTACATCAGCTTGTCTAGATTTCCATGTCAATTTCTGCAAGGATCAAGAAAGAAATCAATTAGAGCCCAGAGGTTGCTGCATTTGATTTCAGAAGTCCCTTAGGGGAGACTAGCTGTTGAACATATATTTATTGAAAGCTTTCTGCACCCTTTCTCCATGATTAATTCACCACAACAATGAAGGATCAGTGACGTGGAGCACTCACTTAATTTTGTGTTGCCATCTATTCATTAGACTAGAAACCTATCCCATTTTTTTTAAACCCTAAACCAATGGAATTCAGCAATAAGCCAACTTTCAAAAACATGTGCACTTTTCTTAAAATTAGTAGATGCTCTCTTCTTTTAATTTGATATTGTTCTGCAAATCAGAATAAACACTTAGGGACTACAAACCCTAACTGGATTCTAAATGAAATATGTATTCTGGAAGAAGACATTTTAGATTAGCAAAGAAATCAAAGTCAGGTAATTCTTATCACTTCAAGTCAGCCAGCAGGCTGAGAGAGCCCTCCACCTGTCGAGACACTGCTGACTTTATCTGCTAATATTCTTCCTCCAGAACATTTACAGGTAAATCCCAGCCTGGACTTTTTTGCAGTGATTTCAGGAGTGGTCAAATGCGGTAGGCTGATTAATTAAAATAAAACTTTATTTTAAAACATATGGCCTAAGATAGTACCACCCTAGACACTATAGCCACGACCATCCTCACAGTGTTTCCCATCACTAAACTGAGGCACTGTGCATTCATGAAGGGCCCCAAGCTGAAAGAGTGACCATAAATATTTATTTCCATTGCAAGCCTGTGCCCTCATCTTTTGACGAGTAATTGGCCCTAAGCTCATCTTCAGCATAGTTATAATGAAACACTCTGCACTCCTACAGTGGAATTCATCCAATGCCCAAATTTGTACGATTTTCTGATGGACCAAGGCTGTGTTTGGCACATACTATACAATGTGGATGCAATGCAAAGGAGCTGAAGGGAGATTATTTCTAGTATGTCTATATTAACATACAGTATGGTAATGCAGACAAAGCTCTTTGTAGTTTGAATGTAACTTCCCATAGAGATAATGTGAATACATCTATAAAGTGATGTTATAATAAGATTTTATTTAGTGAGTACTTGCATGAGTGAATAAAATCTGTGTGCATGAAAATACGTAAATAGCACTTGCTTTTTATGATGAAAGTTTCAGTATACTTAATTGGATAGTATAGCTGTTACAGAAAAGTGCTGAATATAAATGAATAGATGTTTGACAGATGTTCCATCAGGGACCTCACTGTATTTCAGTATGGATTGCTTATCAGCCCAGCTAAATCACTTATCAGAAATTCACAGAGGACATGATTTTTATTCTAGCTTTCCCCAAGTATCATTAGCAATGCCATCTTACTTGCTTATTACAGTTTTTACAGCAGTGCTGGCAAGTTGTTTGAAACAATGTCATCTTTCTATTTATTTGAAGCTTGTTCTAGTGTCTTTGGTTTCTGGATGATGATAAAAGCTACTTACCTTGCTAAAATAAATTTCTTCTGTGTGTGAGGTGTCCATATCAACAGTATAAATATGGTCCCTGTAAACAAAGGGAAATGAATGCAAAGTCAAACAGAGTAGTCAGACAGTTCATTTTCTAAGAGAGCTATCTATCACAAGATAATCCGTAATCCATTCAAAAAAAGACCACAGGTCTTACCAGGGAACAGTACGGACAGCATTGCCCGTTTCCCCAGAAAAGCACTTTCATATATAAACTATCTTCCCTCCCATTAAGAAAAAAAGAAAAATGCTACGAAACTTCAAAGCAAGATTCTTTCCCAAAAGCAATTATTTGAACAAATGAGATTTTGGAAAGGAGATGAGCCTCATATTGTTTCTGCTCTATAGGTTCTACAGCAGACGCCACGATCTAGTATGCAGATGTTTTTGCATATCCTGAAGTCAGCTTCAATAGTTCTTAGGCAGCCTTTGGCAGATTCCTGGGCTAGCGGTCACTGTGCCACATTTAGCCATTCAGGGTTAAAAAGAGGTTAATGCTTCTTTCTTTTTCAATTTTTTTTTTTAAATTATGCATCTAACCTCAGCTGTGATAATTTGATTGACAATATGGTAGGCAAAAGGCTGACAGCTGCAAAACTATTCCCAGAAATCATTCTTTTCTTCACACACTGGTGGCCAAACTAAACTGTAAAATACTCCTTTGAAAAAAGTTCACATTTCTTGCTTGCATTTACTTTCCTGTTTTCCTCAGAACCTGTCCCTCTCTACAATTAGCTGCCAATCTCTCCTTGGAAAGAGGAAACAGACTCAGCTACTCAGGTAGAGAGGTATTTTTAAACATTCTCCTCTGTGTAAGCTGAGAACAAGGACATCCCTGTACAGAACCCAAAATTTGGGAAAAAAACCCCAAACACCAACCCACAACGCTGTAGTAACCTCCACATCAAATTGGGACTGACCATCTCATTTTTCCTTGAAATAACATTGGCTTTTTTCAAAATGCAGGAAGCTGTGCAGCTGGAGCATGATCCACAGCATTGGAGGGGTCTGCTGAAAGTAGGATACAGACTGTTTCCATTTTAGAAATCCCTGCTCTCAAGGTTAGTTTCATTTTATTGGTTTTGGGGAAACAGTGCCAGTCTCTTAAATAAAGCGAACACAAAACACTGTTATAAGAGGAATAAGCAACACTTCTCTCGCATGGAGAAGAGAGGCAGCACTGTTGCGGGGAACCGGCTTTAAAAAATCTACTGTCTGCTATGGCGCTTGAGGCTGTTTGCTTTGTAAGATGCCAAACTGAGGAGTTGTGGGTTTTCTTCTCCTCCAGACTGTAAAACCAGAGCTGTCATTTACTTCCAAGATTGCTTTTAATGCCTCAGTTTATTATTCGCCTGACTCTGCTGGCAGAGCAGTGGTCAGGGCTGCTGCTGGACTAAAGTTACCCAGCAGTGTGATACCAGATTCATAGATTACTGCATGGTTCCCTTTTTATGAACTCCCTGTCGCTGTCACTCCTACTATATAAAAGCAGGAACAAAATCTCTTGAATTGCAAATTAGGGGTGGCTAGAGCTCTAAAAACCTTCTTCCAGCATAGCTCTTGATTTTAATCATCAGTCTTGCTCTCCAGTGGTTATGATTTTTTCTTTTCATACAAGACAATTAGAAAATGCAGTGGCGGTATTCAGAATGAGGCTTAAGTTATTTAGTTCCACTCTCAATAAAACAGCTTTCAGGGGACTTGCTTTCTGGTTCAAGAAACAGTTCAAAGAAAACTCAGATGCTAAGTTATGGGATCATCTGAAAGAGGGTTAGTATCAGGCAAATTACATGTAATTTTCTCATGCCGTACATGAAACGAAGTTGCTTACAGTGTCAGCGGAGAGCGAAAGAGCTGTCAAACTCACGGGAGGGCTCTCCAACCACAGACAATGCGGGATTGTCCTTGCCCTCCTTTTCCCACCGCTGCCCGACTCCTACTACCTACTAGCTGTGGTATGTGTACAGCTCGCTGCTAATTAAGTTATTCTAACACAAATTGACTTAATCCTAGAGCTTCCGTTTTTCCCACCTCCAGTCAGCAGAACCCAGTTTTGTTGCCATGGCATAATCTGGTGGAGGAAGGGAATTTAAATAATGCCACCGGCTGTGCGTGACCCTCGGCCACTCGGTGCTTCGTCTGGAAACGTGTAGCGGAGAACGAGCAGGGAGCCATCCCGATGCTCCGTGGGCTCAGTAAACCGTTTTGTACATACACATGACGGGTGACAGATAATGTGAACAAAAGCTGCCACCGCGCAAGACAATGGGAGGAGGAGACATGGCAAACTTAGAAAAGGGCGTGTGTGCGCGGGTGCGGGCGAGTGTGAGAGAGACAGCGAGGGAGTAGTACCCTTCCCACGAGAAAAAAGAGAACAGAGCTGGTCCCTTGCAGACTGCAAGCCAGATATTCGGCCAGCACGGCTTCATGGGCTTCGGCCGAGTTATTCTAATTTATACTGGCTGGATACCTCTTCCTGGTAATATGAAATAAAGCCTTTCCGAAGCAACACAAAATTTTATTTGGTAATAGCCAACACAGGAGTCGCATGTCCCGTATGACAAAATAAGCAACCCACAGACAGAAATTTTGTTCTATGCCAGTGGCTCAGTAATGAAGTGTTATCAGTTCTCAAATCTGAGTTAGTCCTCTCCAGTGCAAGGAAACTGTCTGCAAAGTAAACTCTGGATTTTCTAAAACAAGCAAACAAAAATCCCAACCCAAAGCAAACAACCCCAAAACAAAAACTCTCAATGTTTAATCATTTGTTTTGATGGTTTTCCAGATAATTGGGTACAAACATAAACTTAGCATTGCTGTATTTCAATGTCTAAAAAAACCAGCATGAAAGCAACATCTGATAAGGCAGCTAAGGGTTTTATGTTAGCTACAGTTTTCAATGCAACTTGCTACAAAACTCTTTGAGAAACACCTTTGATTGTGTACGCCTTTCTTCAGTCTCTAGATTTACTACTACCTCTAGAGGAGATGGGGTATTGCAGTTATAAACTTTCATTCACACTAGTTGTCAAAGGATGACTCATTTTCTGAAATTTATTGCTTAAAGATAAAAATGACCTTTGAATTTTAACTTGTATCACATAGGCTTCTCAGCCCAGCAGGGATTTTATTCAGTAACATGTGGAGGGGGAAAACAATATGTCAAAGAGTTTTTGAGTTACCACAGGAAAAAAGTGTAAGAAGATTTTCTGGGCTTGTGTAAGTACCAAACAGACGAGGTCTTTATTCTTTTTTGTAGGTCACTAGACCCTAGGAGTATATAAGCACTCTCCTTGTGGTAAACTGTTTTATACAAATAAATAGCCACATAACATGAGAATGCATATTCCCATGCCAGTATGCATACTACCCCCCAAATATCAGCACTCTTTATATAACTGTGCACACAGTGGTCTCATAACCCAAAATGTGTCGCAGGGTTTTCCTGCTGTAATACCGGTTGCTTGGGCACTGTGACAGTCTAATTGCGTCAATCTCAGTCTGGGAACAAACTATGAACACAGCAGAGCAAAAGCCACAAAGCGGATTTACCACCTTCTGCCTGCAAATGATTTCCTAATTTAAAGGAAAACAAATAAGGAAAGCAAAGGGAACTCAGCCATGAAAAGGAGGAAATCCTGTCACCACCTTTCAAACCCCTTCAGCCTGCTCCCCCGCCCCGCTCATTATCGCGCTAAATGCAGCAAAAATGCGGAGCCCCGAGCTCAGGCAAAGCCCTTGCCGTGGGGCTGCCCGCTCTCCGTGCCCTACAGCCAGTGCCACCGCAGCTCCCCGCGCAAGGATGCCAGCTCTTTGCCAGCACTTGACGCACGGGCTCGGGACGAGCCAGAGCCCGGAGCTCTGCCGCCCGGGTCCCGTGCGAACTGGGGTGTGCGAGAAGCCCAAAGAAGTTGCGCGTAGCTGGTAAGGCTGCAATGCCTGGGTAGGTCAACGGGTGGAAGTGTGGTCTTCCGGCAGGCAGGGCCACGACCGTGTCAAAATGGCACTCGGTCACCCAATCGCTTGGTGCCGAGTGGGGATGAACAGGCAGATCTCCGCCACAAAACACATCCGACCACCCAGAAGACGGGGAGTGGCTGTTTGAGAAGGAAGCCAGGCAGCTCCCAGAGGCTGCCAAGGGCTTTCAGGACAGGGCTGGTGGCAAGAGGCTGCCTGTTCACCAGCTGTTCCTCCTCACCTCCTGGCCATCCCACCCACCACTTCTCCCATCTGCAGCAACAGCCTGGCTCCCTGTGGCATACACAGGCGGGCGTGTGTTTCTCTGACGGAGGAGAAGGACCAGAAAACTGGTGGGAAGCAAGCTGCTACCAGAGAGGCAGCTTGCGGGGAGGTCCCAAACCGGATCTGGGTCCAAGAGCTCCTAAGATGGACTACCCACCCTTGCTAATCTGGACTCTTCTTGCGGTTGCCCTGCGTCCATCAGACAACTCCCACCCTAAGACTGTCAATCTCCTTCGCTCACAACAGGCAGGGAGAGGAAGTGTTAAAGTTTGATCTGTGCCAGGTTGGCAGCTGTCTAAAATCGGTGTTGCTCCAAGGAAGCTGATGGTGCCATGCTGAGCTATGCAAACTGAATGGGTGGCTCTATACGCAATTTTTATAAAAAGGCGTGTGCTTGTATCTGCACAGTATAGCTCTCCAAAAAAATCCATACACGAAATTCAGTTAACTATGCTGAGTACATTGAAAGAATGGCAGCAAACATGTTTGCTCTTTTTTGTCTTAAGATATTAAAAACATGCCTAAAACAGCAACATTGCAGTTTAATAACTCTTACACAAACATGCATTTGTACATCAGCAGAATTATTCTCTAAAATATGTCATTAATGATGTGCAGAAACAAAACTACAGAATGAGGATGGAGTCTCTCCTCCATGGGGCTGAACAATTTCTCTGGCAATTTCCCTTTTGCTGGACTCCAAGGAAAGCAGAGGTGTGTAGTCCTGAAAAGACCGTCTCAGCACCTTGCAAAACTCAACCTTAGTTGACTGACCAACAAGGTTTCCAGTATGTCTTACTAAAGGGCTGCAAAGCTCTCTCCGAGTGTGAGAAAATCCTAAAAATAACGTGTCTGTCAGAGGAGAACTCAGAATATTCCTCGTCTTCTCCTTCCTTCTCTGAAAGCAGCAAAGGAGGAGTGGCCAAGCAGGGGACTACTGACCTAGCAGCAACGTAGAGGGTCCTGTTCATGACCATGACCAGCTGGATATCCAGTCGGTGCCTCTGCGTGGTGTTCCGCCCTGGTTTGTGACCCACAAACACCGGATACTGTCTTGTATCTGCAGGAAGGGAAAAAAACCAGGGTCAAAAGAGAATCACAAACTGAAACCATGCTAACACGGAGCACTATGTGGCCCAGCTATGGCCAAAACTTGTGGGTTCTATTCTGCCCTGGCACCACAGCCTGGGGTTGGAAGGCATAAGCACAGAGGGCTGGAGAGTTCTTCAAGGTTACAGTCTTTGCAGCTGCGAAGGAGAAAGTCATCACCTTTGTAGAAGACAAAAATTCCCATTTTTTTCAGAGCGTAAAACTCTTCTGGAGCTCTTGGCACATAGGTACATGGCACTTTCTCACAGTTTTTCTTTCACTGCTTGCAGAGCTTAAATGCTTACTCCTGGCTGCCAAAGTGTGTCTAGTAGGACAAAACTGTTTCACAGTGGTCCATCTATCACCACAATGACTGGACTGGTAGTGGTTAAAGCAAAAGATTTGTCTCTCCTTGGTTCAAATTGCCAGCTCCCTGGGTTTCCTACAGGATTGGACTGCCATCGTAAAACAGCTGTGGGGATTTCTGAGAAACAGTGGGAAACCACCACTTGAACTTTATAAAATGAAAGTCACTGCATATTATTTTGGCAACCAGTCTGATACTCCAGTTCTTCTGGCAATTGGACAACAATACTGACTGGAAGCCCTGTACTGAGCTGCTATCAACAAGCCAGCTTTCCCCCTCACTCTACCAGTCAGCAAGAGCATTTATTCACTCTATTCCCATGATTTTTTTAGTGAGACCTCAGCATACATGGGGTATGCTGCTGCTCCCCAGCTGATCTGTGTGTACAACCTATAACAACAGTGAACACTTCTGACCAAGGGCCACCTTGCTGTTACACTTCATATGTATACTTGATCATGACATCTAGATGCATGAACTCGGGAGCTAGTTAAGTAAACAAAATGACAGAAGACAGTATGATGCTCATACTGATGAGCATCACCATCAATGCAGAACTGCTGCATGTGCATGTTATACAGACCTGACTAGCATCTAGCTATGCCTGAGCCTTTTCCTCATCAATATGCTTTCCCAGAAACCTGGAGCTGTTTGAGGGAGTCTGTTTTTTCAGAAACGCAGTTACTGCTGTGTGTTTTCAGTTATTGCCCTCTAAAAGTATCTTCCCCGTTAAGCTTGGTCAAAGTATTGATTCACACCATGGCTTGAGCAAAGAAGTGACAGTGCCATGTGTCAGAAAGCCTGGTGATAAAACTGTATAGAAACAGGAACTTCCCTGCAAATCAGATGCTGAGAACACCTGGAGAAACAAATTAAGATAGCCCAGGTAGGATTTATGTTCAGAAGTGTAACCCTTCTGACCAGGTCCTACATGCAACATGCCAAGTTTAACTGTCAAGCTGTTCTCTGCTCAGTACTGTTTCCTCTGTAGCTCACAGATTTAGTGCAAGCTGGGGGCTTGTACATTCACCTGCATTTCAGCATGCCATGCTGCAGAGGAAAAAGTTACCCCATATTCTATTTCTCCAAAAGGATACAGACTGACCATTTCTGCATTAGTGAGGTCGATTAACATCACCCTTCTGGAGGATGAAAATGTTGGTGCAGAAGACCTAGTGTTCACATCGGACATGTTTCAGCAGGGTTTGCTTCAGAGCAGTTCTTCCTTGTTCTTGTATCCCAGATGCCTATTAGCATTTGGAGCACATCAAGCGCGTCCCTGCAGTCTTTCAGCTTGGTCTTACCCAAGACAGACAAGTTTATGGGTTCCAAGGCCATCCCAAAGCACAGTAAGCAAGGAAAATCAAGAGATCCACTTCAAATTCCTGACCCAAAGTAGGCTTAAACATAAGCCTATTCATGGCTGACTTGCTGCTCCTTAGCATACTTTTACAGACCCAAGTGCTAAAGACTTCCTTTTACACATATGAACCTTTGGGACTTCAGAAGACTTTTCTTTGCAGTAATCCTAACTGAGTTGAGGTAAAAGTGAAAGAATCAGTTATACGAAGCCTGACTTGTATGGCGAAATGCACAGAAAGCTCTTCACCTGTTTAGCCAGCAAATCTCAATACTGACTTGCAGCTGTCTGTGTTACCCTAGATTTTGGAGAGTTTGCCAATTACTACTGTTAAGAAAGAAGAGAGATTCTGTTACAAAAGAATCTTTGTCCTGATTTGGTTTTTAGCTGCATTTCCAGCTTAGCAAAAACTGCCTAATGCTAAAGCGGTATCCATCAGAGCTTAAAGAAATAAGCTCAATTATTAGTATTAGATCGACAAATTACATTTTCAGAGCTCAGTTACTTCAGTGTGTTATGCTTGACTCTGATGTGCTTCCCTGATTATCCAAAACTATGTTTTCACAAGTCAGGTGAAGGACACTTTGATTATGGGGTGGGGGAGAAGGCTTCCTTCCTTTGCTGCTGGATAGAGAAGGATATTTGGCTACTGAAGTGTCTCTGTTCAAGGAGAAAGGCTATGGTTCTGGAAGAGCAAGCAGTTTACCACCCAGTAGTCATAAGTCAACATGAAAAAGTCATATTCCTATATTAGTATCTGAGAACATAAACTGGTTGATCTTGGAGACATCAAGAAAAACAATTCTATTCATTGCAACTATAAAAAAACACTGTTGATTTGAAGTCCTCTGATCAGTATTAAGCAAATGAAGTCTCCTGGCCTCTTATACTTACAGTTGCCATGCGAAATACTGATTGGCTCGGAATCTTCTGGGAAACCAGCCCCAGCAAAGTGTAGCAGTGTGAAATATAGCAGCAAGGCTTCTGACCTCATAGTAGTTCAGCTGGGAGGCTTCACTTCTTCACTTCACCCTGTGGAAGACAAACAAGTCTTAAGTGCCTTCTGTTGATTCAGTTTCAACCACTGCATGCAGAAAGCTAAAAAGTGTCAATGGAAAGAGAGGAAGCTTTCCTTCTCCTCAAGCTGCTCACCATATCTGAGGAGGTATGCCATGTTTCTAAGCAGAAGCTTCCCTACCAGGCCAGTTTCCCTTTAGTCTGTACCTCAGCAGTGCCACAACTTGCTTGAGGATAGACTGAAGTATCTCTGAGTTACCAAGAATTTTCTGCCTCAGCTGCTTATATGCAATAGAGAAGCTTCATCTCCTGCACTGATAGACAGCTGACAAGAGTATTTCGGGAAATATTTTGTTTTCTCCTTCTTTGGTTTGCATAGTAAGATGATGACATGATGACACACACCATAAATAAAAAAAGCCCACTACATTATTCTGGTTAAGAAGAGATTAAGGGTTGTACTACAGGACTGATTCATACCCTGCAGAGTTGTGAGAGAGCTTGATGGAGCATGCAGAACATGTCATTGGGCTTTACCATAAAAATATGTACCCATAAATTTAAGTGCCATAAAACTAATACTCCAGCTTGTGATAAAATAAGGGAGAAGCGAACTGTCTAAGGCCAGCGATTTTTTCCTGTGTTCCACTGACACATTCACTCATACACATTTCATGTACAAAAATATCCCTAAATCTTGAAGATAAAAGGAACCACAGGGGCCTTTCGATACAGTGAAAGAAAACAGCACATAATACAGTAAATAGCTCATAATTCCCAGGCAAATTTCACACAGACGTTGATCTGCAGGGGAAATCAGTGCAAAAGTGGGGTTTTCTTTTCATCCCTTCCGGAGTTTCAAACCTTTGATGCCGCCTGCCAAAGATCCCTTTTGAACAAAGCTATATTACAGTAGTCTGTCAGTCATTCAAGATTTACGGGCAGAAAGTCAAACTTCATAACCTACACAGTCTTTGAAACTTAATTTGGCAAACAAAGTGCTAATTTGCCCTTCTGCAACGCCATTTAATATTAGATACCTATGTCTCCTTTCTTGATGCCAAAAAAAGCATTAACAAGTCTTGAGTGTTGCTTTTTCATTTGTAGTTTCACAGACACAGCTGATTCCTCATCTTTTACCCAACTGAAAAATGTCACAATAATTAATTTGCCTTATCAGATATTTGCTTTCAAATAAAGCTTCGGCTCCTGTAACTGGATTGGAATAGCGACTCTGTTGCAGGGCTATAGCGTCCATAAGGACTAAATGATCTATTATACTCTGTGTTTCCCTATTATTATTCAAACACACAAATTGGAAACTTGGCTGATTCTCTATTTCTTTTAACAAAATAACTGAGAGACTGAGTTAGACTGAGACTAGACAAAATAAAATTTAGTACAAGGCAATGACTGACACCTTAAGTGAACAACGTGTCAGACGGATGGTGAAGGATAAAAATAGCACGAATAAATGCAACACAATGCAGACACTATCTGTCTATTATACCTTATGTGAGAACACATACTAGAAGACAGTACATACAAGCCCCAAGAGAAGCATTTCCATCTAGCACTGGTTAGGCCGATAGCTGTGTATGATTACTGACACAGCTATGTCTGCCTGCAGACACTTTCTTTACCTGTTTCTTCCATTTGTCTCTTTAATCACCTCTTACATTTTCTCTTGACTGTTAGCTCTCTGGGGCAGGAACTGTTTCTTTCTATTTGCTTCCATACCCCGCCAAACATCATTCGGC